ATTTACACACAGCATTACAGAACAATTTCACATTCACAAAGCGACTGAGAACCTCTGCGATCTTGAGCACGCCACTAGAATGAGACTGTAAAAGCAATTGAACCAATAACGATCAAAAACTTTCAAAAAGAAGAAACACCATGTAGCATCTGTCAAATAGTGATTTTCTCCGTTCTAAAGTAGTATGCAATGATACTACCTTTGTCTCTTTACAAAAAAATGGAGTGATGAAGGTTAATGGCCGAGAGTGGAAGTACCAAACACACTGTTCCAAACTTGGCCACCATGTACAACTAGATTGACTTCAGTAGAAAGTTGGGATCAGATGGCTTGAACCTTACGCTAACACTACTGGAACGGTAGTTCCGTTGAATCGCCAATTAAGTAAATCTGATGCACTGCGTTGGTCCACATGCATGCCGTAAAAAGTGCTTCAGTTTAAATGTGAAAGGATGCCAATTCAGCCATACCCTAACTTCAGCACACGTCTCGCCTCTTTGATGTAATCGGTGAGATTGGTACCCATTAAAGAAAGACAAAATATAGCAATATCAGCGGAATCATCTTCCATAGGTAAATGCGCCATGTCGCACGCTGTTACCTTGTCATTCACAGCAACCAAATCAAAAGAATGCACCTAAATGTGAATTACATGGATGGATAATCAAAAGAAGTTGCCACTCTTACTTTATGTACATCGCCCACTACACCTGCAATTTTGGCATCTCCGCATCCAAGATCCAACACAATGCGTTGCTTTGGTTGCATTTTTAACCACTTTATAATGATATCGAGTGGATGCGTTGGCCACTTTTTCACCTAAAACGAGAGGTTGACGCTATAGGTACTAGCAGGCTCAGAGACGGAGCAGAGGAAAAAAGTTTCTAATTCTACAAAAAGTGTATGGAGGTACGACGCGAGATGATGCTAGGAAGAAACGCAGAAAAGACAATAATTGAACCATATTTCCTTTGCCATCGGTAATAATAGCAAGAAAGCAATAGAACACACCTGCTCAGCAAACCCACTGTGATAACAGCGAAATGCGTTGGGATCCTCACGAAAATACTCTAACGCCTCACCTCCAGTCATTGTATACA